TTGATTGCCAATTAGGAACTTAATTGAAGAAATATGAAACCAAGAACCAAAATAGAAAAGGCATTTAAGTAAAGGGGCTAAAATCAAAACTGGTCAGGGGTCCAATTGAAGAAATTAGAAGTTTATTACTCAATTGAGGGTTAAATTGTATAATATCAAGACCAAGGACCAAAGTGAAAAAGGCAGCCAACTATAGGGTCGTTATTGGATTTTGGCAAGGATGCAATTGCATTAATTTTTAAATCAAAATTGCAATTTAGAACTTGATTGAAAAAATTACAAATTGAGGACCAATATGAAAATGGACATGTTTTTTTACGGCCTTTTCATTTAAATGAAACGACACGTTTTAACCAAAACAGCGCCATTTCATACTCTTTTTTTAAAAAAAAAAAATAGAAAAAACTCAAAACAGTATCATTTTGAACGGTACCATCATCTTCTTTCTCTGGACATGCAGAAAATAAGAGAAGAAAAATATGTTTTTCCCCACATAATTTAGCAATACTTGTATTTACTTGTAATTGTAATTCTTAACCAGCTTAATATTAAAAAAATATAATTAAAAAATATAATTTTAGTAAAAAACATAAAAAAACTATGTGGAGAAAAACATTACAGCAATCCATAGTAATTTACGAGGAAAACTATAGTGTTTTTCTTATGCGTTGTAATTGTAATCTTTAACCAGCTCAATATTAAAAAATAAAATTGAAAAAGATAATTTTGGAGAAAATCATAAAAAATAAAAAAAAATTATATGTAGAAATACTATAGCAATCAACAATGTTTATTAAAAATTTACAAAACTAAATTTTTATTTAGCTTAATATTAAAAAAATAAAATTAACAAATATAATTTAAAAAAATAAAATAAAAAACTATGTAGGAAAACAGCATAGCAATCCATAATATTTTCAAAATTATATTTATCGATGTTATTTTTTAATATTGAGTTGGTTAGAATTTAACTTTATAATAAAGCTTAATCATGTGGGGAAAAACACTATAGCTTTTTTCACAAAATACTATGAATTGTTATAGTGTCTCTCCACAAAGTTTTTTTTCTTATAATTTTTTAAAAATTATCTTTGTCAATTTTAATTTTTTAATATTAAGCTAGTTGAGAATTATAATTACAAGTTATTTCAAATAAGACTAAATCATGTGAGGAAGCACTGTAGCTTTTATCACAAAACACTGTAAATTGCTACAGTGTTTCCAGCATAGTTTTTTGTGTGCTTTTTTTCACAAAAATTATCTACGTTGATTTTATTTTTTTAATATTGAACTGAATGAGAATTTAGCTTTGTAATTGTTTTTAAATATTGTGAATTGCTACAGTGTTTTTTCACATAATTGTTTTGATGATTTTTTCCAAATAATTGTTTTAATGATTTTTTCCAAAATTATCTTTGTTGATTTTTTAATATTGAGTTGATTAAAAATTATAATTACAATAAAACAAAATCATTTGGGGAAAGCATTGTTGTTTTCCTCACAAAACACTGCAAATTGCTACAGTATTTCTCTAAATGGTTTTTTTATGATTTTTTCTAAAATTATCTTTGTCTATTGTATTGGAAAAAACACTATAATTTTCCTCACAAAACATTATTAATTGCTACAATGTTTTTTCTCATGGGTTTTTTTCTTTCTAAAATTATCTTTGTCAATTTTTTTTAATATTAAGTTAGTAGAGAATTTAGCTTTGTAATTTTTTTTGTTTTTTATTAATAGAAAAGCTAAATTATGTGGCAAAAGCACTATATCTTTTATCATAAAACATTGTGAATTGCTATGAATCATTTTATTTAGTCTCCAAGTTTTTGATTACCAACACAATTTTTTTTTTATCTGAAATATTGACTCAATTATATCTTTAGTTTCTATTACTTATCTAATGTTCGTTTACAATTCACTACCAACGTCAATTGTTTTATTTACGCAGTAAATAATAGCATTGTGCCCCTCACTGCGGCTACAGGAATGAAGGGATGCATGATGCTTTTCTTCTACCTTGCAGTTTTTCTCAGCTTCTTGTCATTTTGTTGAACATTTGATAAATTTAGTATTGTTTTCTTTTTTTACCTTGTATAACTGATACCTTGATCATTTTCAATCGAACAGATGGAAAGATTCTTGTGGAAGACTTTGTCAAATTAGGCGGTTGGACGGAAGATGCCATCTAATGTGATTAACAAGTTTTTCAAACTATTTTTTAATTTACACTACAGTATCAACCAAATAAATTAAATTATCTTCTACTTACTGTCGGGACCCTGAAGTTTGCATGCTATAGACTTTACAGGGAAGAAATATAGCTTGAATTGTACCTATTCGACCCCCATGTTTCTCTCGTATTGGCCCCCTTCTTTTTCTTATCGCCTTGGAAAGTTCAAAATGAAAATTCCCTTTTTTACTCTTTTCGTTGGTCTCTTTTCATTGGGCTTATCTGCAAGCATTTAGAAAATGGCTTTAATTAATTATATCTTAATGAATAAAACCTTCACTACCGATATAAGATAGTGATCGGCCGAGTATGTCCACTAAGTACCCCATAATTTTAAAACTCAGTCGGTTGAAAAACACAGGAAAAAAAAATCTATATGCCCGGGCTAATTGAGTGAGTTAATCTGGTGACTTAATTGACTTAACAAGACTAAATTAAAAATCTTGTTGTTATTTATTAATTTTTATTTTTTTATTAAAATGATATCATTTTTATTTAAAAAAATTAATAAAGCTAACCTAATCAAAACTTGAAACCCAAACCTTGGATCGGATAGTGTCTAAAAACTATAAAATACCCATTAAGCATGTCAAATCAATATTTGAATGTTTTCCCTAAAGAAATATAAGCAAAAACCTTCCTTTTGAGCACTTATTAGTAAAGTAATATTATAACTAAGGATCTAAATGGCTTTTTCCAAAAAAGTAGGGAGCAAAAATAAAATGAGTGTGAGAGTATTTAATTTTTTAGGCAGGGGCTAATGTTAAATTTATCATTGTATTTATGCTAATTATTTATTTTTATTGGTGTGCTTTTTATTTCGTCAATTAACTTTTTTGTTCTTCAAATTCGTTTTATTAACTTTTGTGGTCTTTAAATTTGTCCAATTATTTAAATAAATAGCTCGCTTGCCTCAACTCTCAATTCTAAGATGACTCTTTATTAATTAAATTTATATTTATGTAGGGCTTTAAATTTATTAAATTTATCACCAAACAAACTATGTATCATAGATTTATTTCTCTTTTAGACAATTTATTTGGTCATTATTATCAATTAAACATTACCTTCCTCAAAGAGAACGTAGATTCATCCAATAAGTTTTTTCCATTCCGATTCTCTTACTTGACTACCCACGGGAAGCAGCAGTCACTCCTCTTTAATTAGGCCCCAAGCAATTTCTTCCATTTGCTCCTCTTCCAGTGCAGCCATGCTTCCAAATGGCACGTAAACCATTGAGCCAGTTTCCTTTGAATCGTCCTCTAGCCACTCCTTGCAACCGTCCGGATTGGGTTCGAAGAGGCTGAGGCCGTACTCTTTATCGTCCTCCAGCTGCTTGTCCAAGTAAAATGATGGGATCAATGGTCCTATTGGCTTTATTGACGTTTGGCTTGCCAACCAATTTACCTCCTAATGGAAATCAACAAAATTTTGAGTGCCACAGAAGTAAAAAAGAGCATACTTTGAAAGTATGGTATCATCTTGTGATTTAAATAGGACTTATTATTGTTCCACAACAGTCTTATAAAATTTTAACCGGTGTTTACTCGAATTCTTTTCGTACATTTCTTTCTTAAATTTTATTCTTTATTTTTATTTTAATTCTTCAGAATTATTTTCTCATTCTAGAATAGAGACATTTATTTTAAATTCTTCTTATTCTTTTATCCATATAAATCTATTATCAATTTTACTGTCATTATAAATTTTAAATTAAAATTCACAATCCCTATTTTAACTTCAACAATACCTTTAAATTCTTTAGTGGAGGCCATCTCTTCTATTGCATGCCTCATATTTTATTATTTTATTTTTATCTCGAGTTTTCATTATTCTTCAAAACTTTACTACTTCTGATTCTATTTTTACACGTCGGGGTTCACAGTTTGTTTTTTGACCAGTTATAATTAAGGGAAGTCAGTTTAAGTTTGTTTTGTTCATATTCAGATTATCAGTTATCGGACTTTATCTTTGTTTCTTTTCTTTTCAATGTTTAGCCGTGTTCTTAATTACGAAATCAATTGCGTAATAAAATTCTATCTGTGCATATTCTCTCCGATCATTTGTGTGCCTAAGTAAGCCTACATGAATATGTTGGAATTCTTTTAGTTTTTATTGGTTGATATTATCTTATTGAATTATTATAAAACACCCTGCAATAGTACAATTAAATATATGTATTGAAGAGTTGTAAACTTATTCCATAGTTTTTTCTCTATGATATATGTAAGTGAGGTTTTTCACCATTCTTTCTTCCTAATCTCAGTTTTTTCTAACAGGATAATCTCAAGGAACATTGTTAAGAGTTTTATTTATTTATTATTGCCGTTGCTTAAAAAGATGAGTTTGATTGGTACTAAATTTTAGATGGAAAGAGTGATGAAATCTCAAGGAACAAAGACGTTGAGATCAAAGAAATACGAAAGGCAAATACAGTACTGAAACATCACAGCACTACTCTGACGACATGCAATTGGATCAGTTATGTGGTATTGATAGGCTCTAATTGATGTTATTAGGCCTTTGATTTCGTTGGCTGGCTAATCTTTGGAGTTTAAGGCTGCTCGTTTTTCTAGATATTGTCTTCTACTCTTTTGCAGGACCCGGAAATTTGCGTGATGGGAACTTTACAAGAAAGAATGGTAGCTTAAATTGCACGGCTTCGTTTTTTCTCTTATTGGCGGCCTTGTTTTTTACTGTCTTGGAAAATTCGAAATGAAGACTCCTTGTGGTTTTCGTTGGTCTCTTTTGGTTTGCATGCATTTAGAAAAATATTGAATAATACTAAGATTGATTCTTTAACTTTCGCGTATAACCTTACGGCTTAATAAGAATTTATAGATGAAATACAAAGAGTTATGTTAAGCAGAATCATTTTATGTCAATTGTTCAAATACAAGGGTTAATTGAACAAAATTAGAAACACGAAAGGTAATTAATCAAATTTAAAAAAGAACAGGGATTAGAATGAACAATTGACATAAATACAGGGGTAAAATACATTGATAGAAGCATTTTCATGTTTCATGGAACTTCCTTGCAAGTTCTGCTGCAAATTCTGTAATATTCTTATCGGAGCTTCCGCCTTCATCTACTGCGGTTTTGGCTAGTTGCATCCATTTCTCAGAGTTCCTTCTTATCTTATTCCCTCTTTCACCTTCCATGACTTCCCTTATACACCCTTCTACCTCTTCTTTAGTGACAATCCCCTTTTCATTTGCCTTCACTCTAACGCCTACACGCCAAACATCGGCAATGCACTTTGCATTTGTTGGTTGATCAGTCCATTGTGGCATTGCCACCATGGGCACTCCTAAGCTCAACGCCTCGAGTGTTGAGTTCCATCCACAATGAGTCATGAAGCAACCAACAGACTTGTGAGCCAGAACCTCTAGCTGTGGGCTCCAGGTCACCATCAAACCCTTCTCTGATGACTCCTCCACAAAATTGCTTGGAAGTTTCTTTTTTTCCGATACTCTGACTACCCACAAGAAGTTGCAGTCACTCCTCCTTAGCCCCCAAGCAATTTCTGCCATTTGCTCCTCTCCCAGCGCAGCCATGCTTCCAAATGACACATAAACCACTGAGCCAGTTTCTTTTGAATCTAGCCACTCCATGCAGCCGTCCAGATTAGGTTTGAAGAGACTAGGACCGTACTCTTTGTCGTCCTCTAGCTGCCTATCCAAGTAAAATGAAGGAATCATTGGTCCTATTGGCTTTACTGACCTTTGACTATCCAACCAGTTTACCGCCTGATAGAAATCAGCAAGGCTTTTAGTGCAACAAAAGGTACAAGGAGCATATTTTGAAAATATGAACAAAGAACTAAGAATTTAAATAGGAATTTGAATTTAGAAAATATATTGAGGAGATCTTTAGTGGTACCTTTTCCTCCAGGGTGTTGAAAGTGTTGATAAAGATCCAATCAGCTTCCCTGAAATTCAAAAACTGACCCACCACATGGTTCAGTAGAAGGGAATATTCTGATTCTGATTCTGATTCTGAATCCATACCTTGCACGAATGATGGTAGATCGGTAATCTCCAGTGGTGAAAGTGCTGGCAAACGTGAAAGTGTTACCAGCAACTTCTCTGGTGGAATCTTTAGCTGCATCTCATGAACGTTGTAGTAGACATTGTCAACAGCACATGATTGTGTGAAGAGCGAAGCCCCAGTGAGGCCAAGCTGCCTAGCTGTGTCTAGAAGCCAAGGCAAGTGGGAGTCATACAGAAGGCAATTTATTGGATGCCCAGAAGAATTGTTTAGTTCTGCAACGAGTTCTGGCAATTTTCGTGTCACCGCAGCTCGGAATTGTTTTGAGTAGTCATCTGAGGAAAGCTTGCCTTCATAACTAACAAAATCTACGGTCACAACTTCGACCGAGCCAAGTCGGCGGGTATGCTTGAGCACCTTGCTCGAGAAGATCACTATTGTGACGCGGAGCCCTTTGGAGGCAAGGCGCTTGGAGAATTGCATCATTGGGTTAATGTGACCTTGAGCAGGAACGGGTATGGCCAGTACATGACTCTTACTCTGTATTTCTTGCTTCTCCATTAATTTCTCTAACCAAACCCCCTGTCTATTAGCCTTTCATTCTCCGGAGTAGAACTACTATATATATATATATATATATATATATATAAGCATGTTGTATCCAAATTGTAGGAGTGGACCTTAGTCCTGGTCAAACCACTTGGCAGACAAGGAAGGAACAAACGTGGTAACCAAGTTTCCAAAGCTTGGACGCTACTCTTTTTTTCTTTTTCTTTTTTTAATACTGCACTACATTTTTTTTAAGTCTAGGCGTCACTGTTGATAATGGGATGGGATTATTAAAAGGCATTAGATTTAAGTGAGTCAAGGAACTCCTGTATGAATCAAGATCGGAACAAAATTACCAAAAAATAATATTAAATATTTATTTAAACTTGGTATTGAAGTCTTAATATACATATTAACAATAAAAATAAATATATTTAAATTAAAATAAAGAAGAGATTACTAATATTTATAAGTTGAACTAAACAAACAACATATTGGAATTTATCTCCTCTCTGAAACTTTGAAATTCTTTCGAGTTTAATTTTAACTTTTTAATTAACTATTTTATAAATACTGTAAAAAATTTATTTTTTTAATATAAAATAAAGTTTTTCAAAGGATTTTGGGATTTATCAAAATATATAAACTAATTAATTATAGATTATATTGATGTTCTATGTTAAGAAGCATATATTAAAGTTTAAATTCTAACAAAATTTAATTTAACCTAAAAAATTAAAATTTATTTTTAATTTAATCTCAATTAATGTACCATTAACCATGTTTTTTAAACAAATTCCCAACATTATTATCCCCACTTTCACTTTTCACTTCCCCTTTCCTTTTTGACTATTTTTAATTAAGAACTAACATAATATACGTAGATTTCCACCAAGTGCTAACATCTGGACTCAATCTTGACACCTCATCTCTTACATATACATATATCACGTCTAGCTCTCTAGGTTGCTTTATTAAATCACCTGCTTTCACCCAATCCATCTTATTCAACAAGATTGATAATTAATATAAGCAGCTCATCTCATATGAAAATATTCTTCTTTGTAAAAGCTAGATTTCCAAGCAACACATTTATCTCACATAAACAACATGAATATGTTGCAATTTTTTTAGTTATTTTCTAGGAGCAAGCATGCAAGAAATTAATGATATAATTATCCTATTAAATTGTTATAAAAATACTTAACTGATGTTATCCTATTATAAAGTGACATTAAATTGTTTTTCTAGCAACTGAGAGCCATATGCTTTAATTGATGTTTTGATTAAGGACTTTGATTTTGCTGACTAATTTTCTAGGAGCAAGCATGCAAATTCTAGCCGCTCGTTCCTTCATATATTGTCTTCTACTATTTGCGTGATGGGACCTTGACTAGAAGGATTGTAGCTTGAAGTGTCCAGCATCTCCATTGACTTGGAAAATTCAAAATGAAGACTCCTACCGTCTTCTAGGCATCTTTAATTATTCGTATACAAGAACATCAAGTCAATCGAAGAGTACGGAATGCAAAAATTTTCTTAATTGGCAGGAAGCACTAATTTCTTCTCTTTGTTAATTTTTTTCTTAATTAGCAACTGAGAGCCATATAGCGCTGGCTCTCCCTTTCTTTGGTGGGAACTCTCCATGTAATTTCCTAATGCAATAATTCCTACATGTTTAGGCAGTCTATTACCCCAACTGGACAATTCGACCTGTGGATGCTGATGCTCAGAAGGTTGACTGCTTCTCCGTATATCCCTCATTCTTTTAGCATCCATGCTTATTATTGTTAGTGTATCTGCTGTAGTTAATCAGTTCGTTATATATATATATTTGATTAATAAATATAGTTTATAGATAAAGTTTTTAAGATAAAAATATTTAACAAAAAAAATTATAAAATTATTATAATTATTAGATTCATATTCATCAAATCATTGTTTCTAAATATTCATAATCAATATTTTGTTAAAATCAAACATTAATTAGAGTTATTAAAACTAATACATATTATATTATTTTCTTTATGATATGAAACAATTATTCTCATAAACTGAGATATAAAAAATATTTAGAACTAATATGTAGATACTTGTTAAATTAACATGTAGACCGAGCTGACCTCATGTGAATTTCATATGGTGATATTGCCGGTGTCTATGAAAAAACTCACATAACAGTTATATAAGTTATATTTAAACTTGATATCATAACTAAGATATCTTATATATAGAGTATTATATTTTGATCCTGCTACGTATTATTCTAATTAATGATAACAAATAGGTAAATACATATTGGGTATAACATAAATTATATGAAAATATTTAGATGTAAAGAAAAAGGAGGAAAAGTTACAAAAGAATAAAGATAAGACCAAAATAAATTGTATAAATAGGTCAAGTCTAGAGTGATAAATATTTCAAGTATAAAGAATAAAAAAATAATATTTTTTTTCAAAAAAAGTGTAAAGAAAAAAAACAAAACTAAAAAAAATTACAAAACAATGAAGATAAAAAAAAAATCCAATCCCCCTAATAGCTTAGAGTCCTGTTGTCGAGCAGGACTCAATTTAACACCGTTGGGTTTGGTTGCTTAATAGGACCCAACATTCTTCTAAATGAAGGTTGTGATATGCAGATTTTGTATTTTGATATTAAACCTCACAACATTCTTCTTGATGAAAAATTCACTCCAAAAATCTCAAATTTTAAACTTGCAAAATTGTGTCCAACTAATAATAGCATTGAGTCCCTTACTATGGCTAGAGAAATAATGGGATATATGGCTCCTAAGTTATTTTACAAAAGTATTGGAGGCATCTCTTACAAAACTGATGTCTATAGTTTTGGGATGTTATTGATGGAAATGATTGGAAGAAGGAAAAATCTGAATGCATTAATAGATTATTCAAGCCAAATATACTTCCTTTCATGGATTTAAGACTCGGTTAATGAAGGAAGGGATATACTTGAAGATCAAGTGACAGAACATGAAAAGAACACGATAAAAAAGATGACTACACTGGTATCATGGTGCATACATTTGAAGCCTATTAATCATCCCTTAATGCATAGAGTTGTACATATACTTGAAATAGATATTGAATCTCTACAAATGCCTCATAAGCCTTTTCTCATTCCGCAACAAACATCAAACGATGATAGGATCAATATAGGTAATCTAACAAGTTTAAGAGATTCGTTAAATGTTTGTAGCATTGATTTTTCATATCAATTTGATTGTTAATAAAAATACTCTTATATACTTGTTTATTTAAGTAATATGTTAATTTTGTATACCTTAACTATCTGAATTTTGATAATAGTTGTATTTGTTAAAACTTGCAATTAACTAGCTAACAAAGCATTCAATACACTATAGTCATGTATCTTTCTCAAATTAAAATATGAATTTCTAAAACTATTTAATGTTTGTTCTATTACAACATTGTTTCCTTTTATTTTATTTTATTTTATTAAAAATACTTATAGAATATCCAAAAATGATTTTTTTTGGAAGGCTTGTCTAATGGACATAAAATAAAACTTAATATAAAATTTAATATTTTTTATTTTTTATTTTTTTTCGTCTTGAACATAAGTATGCTTCACCAAACCTATGAATGGAGTCCAAAACAAACTGCATCAAATAATAAAAACCATAGTTGATAACTCATCAATATTTATCAAGGAAAGTCCAAGCCCATCCCAGTGTACATTGAAACATAAAAACACTAACCCACAGCCCCGTTACCTAGCCCATATCCCATCACATGCGGCCCAAGGTCCAAGCCGAACAATCCAAAAGAAGACCCACATTAGCCCATTGTCATACAAAACCCAGATCCACCTGGAGCTCAACTCTTTTACTGACCCTTATCCCTGAAGGCCTGTTTCTTTCTGTGTTTTGAAAATACTTTTAAAAAAATTTAAATTTTTTTTAATTTTTATTAACTTTAAATTAATATATTTTTAATATTTTCAAATCATTTTAATAAGTTAAAAATGATTTTTAAAAAATAAAAAAACATTATTAACATGCATTTCAACATGAAAAACTATTTAAAAAACAACAACAATCACACTTACACCTCTAAACAGGTTTAAACACAAATTAACACAGCAAGCAGAGGGGTGGAAGGAAAGAAAGAAGGGCAGAGAAACTACTGCAACTTGAAACAAACAGGCTGCAAACTAAGATCATCAACTAGATTTTGTGGGCCCGAGAATATCCATGTGTTGGTTGGTTTACTGAGGAAAAGTCCTCATAATTTTAATGCAAGCTTTCTACACAGAGAATTTTGATTTGAGGGAAGCTGGTTTCATCAGGATCAATCAAATTGGAACTTCTTCTAAACATCTCTTCAGAAAGAAATCAATTCCATTCTCTCGTTATTGTTCTTTTTATACAAACAAAAACACCCATAAGTGGAATGAATTCATGGGAGCAAGCTTAGGTGTTGAGAACAAAAGAAAGGGAAGTACCTGGAAAGATGATGGTACTGCTCTTGAAGAAAAGGAAAAATATTTGTTTCACCAATAAAATCCACAAGAGACCAGCAATAGCTGTTAATGCCAGCTTTCACCTTGGCTTTTTCTTCTTGTTTTTTTCAATCTCTCTTCTTATTTTTTTGCCTTCCTTCTCCCCCCCTTTTTTTGGTGGCTGGAAGTGGCCTAAATATCAATCCTTTTATGAAAGAAAACAATCACCGACTCCATAAAAACCGAATCCTTGAAAATTGCCCTGATTAATCTGTCATGGAAATTCGTCACCAGCCCTATATTTTTCACCAGCTTAAGTGCTAGTCACCAGCCCCTTTTGCTTGATTCGTTAAGGAGAGAATTGGGTGATGTGTTGGAAATTAACAACATGTGGTTTTCATTCGCGGGTGATCAATTAAAAGCTGTGATTGGGGCAAAACATGGGCAAAAAGTTAGTCTCCCCATATATGTTCGCAAACCCAGATTTTATGCTAATTTAATATGCAAGGTACCAATTTTAGTCGAAAGAAGAAAGTAGTCTGTTTTATGCCAACCTCGTGATTGTGTATTCAAGTAATCTTTAATTAAAATTGAGATTTGATCTAAAAAAAAT